AGGGTATTGTAGTAAATAATTATAAAAAATATTAATTTAATTATGGTAAAATGATATAATAGTAAATTTAAACACATATCCAATTCTTATCAAATATAATGAACGGTATTATAGTAATTTACTTGGGGATAGTTTTATAAATAATTATAATATAAAAAGTATTTTCGTAATTATAATATGAAGACATAATAATAAATTTAAACACATGTCAAATTCTTATCAATTATGAAAAAAGGTATTATAATAATTTAATTAGGTTTTTTTTCTTCTTATAGTATAGATTTGTGTTTTACAATCATCCACAAATATAAAAAGCATGAAGTTTTTGAATTTTGTTCCAAGTTGTAATTAAGCCTTCCAATTTTTATGATAGTTATATATAGCTCTTACTTTACAGTTAATTGGTTTTTGACTCGTGCAATGCATAAGGCTTTTAATTTTTATAAAATTATTTTAATTAATTAAGTTTTCAAAAATATTATCTTTCTTTTAAATTCTAAATTTATATATTATAATTATTTTAATTTGAACTGAAAGTATAAAAAAATCTTCATAAATAATTGTACTTAAAATTGGAGAGCATATTTTATTTTTATTTTTTTCAACAACCTATAGATTGAGTTTCCTAACTTAATTTTAAAAGAAAATAATTGGATTTTAAAAATAGTGCAAAATGTATGATAAAGTAGATGTAAATATAAACATTATTTTACAATAACTTTTTAAATTTAAAGATTTGTTGGATGTTTATTTAGTAGTGAGTTTGAAATATTTATACGTATTTATGAATTTGAAATTCACGTTTTTATATCTTTTAAATTAAATCAATAATCATATTAAATTTTATTAATTTATGTATATTACATATATTTTATTCTTGTAATTTATATAGCAAATAAAATTCAAATTTATTTTCTTAAATTTACCTTTCTAAGCGTAACAATAGTGTTTTTTGATTGGACAATCACTTATTCTAAAATAAATTATTTTAATTTTTATGAATTTATGAAACAAAATATATTAAAATTTTATAATCCAAGATATATATCTTAAAATTAATTTTAAATTTTATTTTTATATATTAAAAACCTAATAGTTTGATTGCAATCAGCATAATTATATATGTCAACTAACCATTAAATAATTAATTTTAAAAATTTTATTAGAAAACTCATTTATTAATTACTTTTTCCTACTTCTATGTACATGCATTTTAATAAATATTTTTAGATTATATTTTTCTAGTATTTATGGTTACCAGAATTAAACCTTGATCACTAAAACTAAAAGTTTAACATTCCATCAATAATTTACGTGGTTATTGGTTATTTTTAGATTATATTTAATGCTAAATGATAAATATAAAATATGCATAATATAAAAATTAAATCAATATTAAGTGGTATTAATTTAATTGTGGGTGAAATTTATCTAAATAAAGTAATTAAATTAATAAATTACTTTTATAAAAATTTATTAATTGTTTAAATGATTAAATAGTTTTTAAATATTATAAGCTTTTATTTAAATATCAAATAATTGATAGGTAATAAGTTTTTAAAATATGGTTTTTATATGATTAATCAATAGGAAGTAATTTAAATTCTTTTCTAACATGGTAGAAAATCCTCCAGTTAATATAGTATTATAATATTAAAAAAACAATTATATAAAATTAAAATTTAATTTTTCAGCAATAATTTAAATTTAAATTAATTTTATTATTTTATTTAAAGATATAAAGACAAAGTTTTCGACAAAAAAGAAAAACATTCAATATGAATGGATAATATTATTGACATGTGGATAATCTTAAGAAATGCCTTATTTCCTCTAATAAATGTATTTTTATTTTATTTGATGTATTTTTAATTTAAAAAATAATATAAAAGACTAAATTGACTACATTTATTTTTTTATTATTTATGTTAAATCATTCTTATTAAATTTATATTGTTAAATATCTAACTTAAAACCAATTGACAACAAGTAAAAGGGCTCAATCTGAATATAAGACTATAAGATATTGAATATTTATTAAATGTGAGATAACCCACTTTAACAGACCTCCATTAAATGTAGACAAAGATAAAAAAAACTTTTTACGTGATAAATTAGGAAATGGCAATAGAAAGAAATCATAGCTCTGATCCATGTTAAACATCTAACTTAAAATTAATTTGCAGTAAGTAGAGGGGCTCAACCTGAATATAAAACTATAAAAAATTGAATATTTATTAAATGTGAGATTACACCACTTTAACAAACCCTTATCATGTGTAAACGGAGATGAAAGAAGTCTATCATGTAACAAATCTGAAAAGGTTACGAAAAAAAATCTTGATTTTGATACCATATTAAGCATCCAACTTATTATTAGTGGAGAGGTTCAACCTGAATATAAGACTACAAGATATTAGATATTTATTAGACATAAGATAACCCACTTTAATATGATATCAGAGTTAAGATTTCTTTTCGTTGCCTCTTTTAAGCCTGTCACATGATAGATTTTTTTTTATCTTCACTTATACGTGATAGGAGTATGTTAAAGTGGTGTGATATCATATTTAATAAATATTCATTTTTTTTAGTCTTATATTCGGTTGACTATCTCCACTTACTATCAACTGATTTTAAGTTTGATGCTTAACATAGTATCAAAGCTGAGACTTTTTTTATGTTGCCCTTTTCAAATATGTCACATTATAGATTTTTTTTTTTATCTCCGTTTACACGTGATGGGGGCTGTTAAAATGATTTAGTCAATATCTAATAAATATCAAATATCTTATAGTCTTATATTTAAGTCGATCCCTGCATTTACAGCTTATTAGTAGTAAGTTGGATGCTTAACACTTATGAAGGGTATTAAAACTTTAATTGCCAATATTAATAAATAAAATAATTTTATGTCTCTTTCTTCAATTATAAATATGTAGCTCATGAATTACATTTATTAAAAAAATATACTTTCCAATTTTGGTTAAAAATATGATCTATTGGCTCCACCTTTAAAGCTACACACATATACATATATATATATATATTTAATATATTGATTTTAAAAAAATTAATAGATAATGAAATCAATTTAAATTAATTTTAATATGTCAAATCAAATTAATTTTACTATCATTATTACAGTAATTTCAAAATTTCTTTTTCATTTTTCCTAAGCACATTGAATAAACATTATACTTAATTATTCTAATTGTAAAGCATAAATTACTTTCAATTTAAAATACTATTACTCTTAATTTGGTTCATAATTTATTTTAGTCAATTAATCATTTAAAAATAAATATTAATAAAAATGATTAAATTTGTTTTATAATAATAAAAATAAGATATTTTAAATTAAATATATTTTACCACTAAATTCAAAATTTAAATTAGAAATGCATAATTAATTCTAAATACATATTAATTTTTTAAATTATTCAAATATTAAAAATGTAAACTATCCATATCAAATTATTTCTTTTTTATTAGAGTTTTTGAATTTTATATATTTATATAAGATTAAGTATATAGTTTTTTTATTTTAAAAAAAATTATAACTACAAGTGATAGTTATAATCTAGTATTATATTCAAATATAAAAAATTATTAAATAATCAAACAAATAAAATCAACCAATAAACTAGAATGTAATTAGATAAATTCATCATAGAATTAAACTAAATCCATATATGTTAAAACTTGAATCTAAGACTTTTGGTTCTAAAATCTCCTATACTCTTATACTATCACTACATTAGAGCTCTCAAAATTAACTTAAACCTAAAAACTTTGTCCAACTTACCCAAACTCAAGTCTAACTAGAAAATATCGCAATACAAATTTAATCGAACCAAAACTAAAGTATTCAAAAATTTAATTTAAAACCCAATATTTTGGATCTAAAATGACCATAATTTAACTTGAATTTTCTTTAATCTAAATTGATGTGATCAAAACTTGACCCAATTTGCTTTATAGACACCTCATACCAAAATACAAAACATTGCAACTATGTCTTCTCAAACAATAGAAGGTCTAGTTGTTCAAGAATGAAATGAAATTACATCCCATTACATGAGTAAGCCATAATAAAGAATAAAAATGAAATTCTCTCCGATTTTTTTAATTGTATGATATTAAAAATCATGAAACTTTAATTTTATAATTTAATATTAAATATATTTAAATTAAAGTTTTTTTTAATTTCTATAAAAATTAATAACACCTAAATGATTTAGAACGAAGAAAGTAAAAAAATACTAATAAATTAAACATCTACCACTTATAAGCTGATAATTAAAAAAATTTTAAAAAATAGTAGTATAATCCAATTTAGAAAACTCTCTATGGTTTGTGAATCCAAAATTTATATCATCTCAAAACCTTAACAAGCCATTAATGAAAAAATTTTCAGGCTCTGCTAAAATAGTATTTATGATAAAAGTGATAAAATACAACCGAACCTAAAAACCTATTAAAAAAATCAAATCCGAATCCAACTAAACTTAAATGGATGAAAAAGAAAATTCAAAATTTAAATTAAAAATAATCAAATTTGATATAATTCAGATATGAGATAGATTTGACCCAAATCTATAATAATTTAAACTTAATATTAAAAATTAAAATTATGGAATTTTCAATTAGAAGTTTTTATTTTAACCCGAATCCAGTTAAAAAAACGACATACTATATTCTATATGATCCGGTCCCATCCAGAAAGGATCGAGCCCTATTGACGACGAAATCCTTGAATCCAACAATTTGCCACCGGTAGTTACTGGCTATAACTATCCATATGCAGGTCCACATCTGGTTGAACCAATGGAGGCAGCAACCTTGCAGTTTCTTCTGCATTCAAAGCTTGAAATTAAGGGCAACTATTTTTCTTAGTTTGAATCATAAAACAAGCAAATGAACAGAATCAGATAATAGATGGAATACCTTTTTTTTTTTTTTTTTGAAAATCTTGACTTAGTCTTCTCTAAAAAGAATATACCCTTCTCTACATAACTCCAAACCGCAAAATTCCATTTTCGCATTTCACCGTAAAATAATTTTAAGCATTTCCCCTCTTCTGTTTCTTGTTCAAGTCCACAAGACGACGAACAGATTGATACACCAGGAAAATAAAATTTAGAGTCCTGGTCGGTCTTCCCCACCTTGTCTTTGATTTTCTTTGTTTCTCACTCGTATTTACCCCTTTTAACACGTATTAAGATTCAAGGGTGTTTCCATTTCTTGTTCATTTTCTCAGTCTTTGTATCCCAATCTCCAGGTTAAGTTCCTTCTCTTTTCTTCGACCCTGAATTTTTCTTGCCCTCTTTGTCATTTTTTTCTTCTTTTTACACATGTATATGTAAATCTATTTTTCTTTGTAATTTGTGCGTACAATAACTTAATCTTTGTATAATTTCCAGCTTTTGTTATACTGTTTTATCTCCCATATTTCTGATTTTTTTCTGAATTTGCAACCCCATCTCTGTTTCTGCCAAACCACTGTTCCCGTTTGACCTCTGTTTTCCTTTTTCTTCCTTTTTTTTCTCTATAAAGTCTTAAGTTTTAATTCATTGAATCTTTTTCTCTGGAAATTTGTTCATACCTTTCTTTGTTAAGAACTAGGCCATCTTTGAAAATGAAAAAAAGGGACAGCAGAAGCTTCCCTGAGCTTGTATCCGAGGTACAAGCCTCAGTGGAAGAGGTAGCCTCATTTCCAAAAGAATCAGAATCAGAAGCAGAATCAGAAAGAGGTCTATTCTTTGAATTCCCACGTCTTCTGCATAAACTTTCTCCAATTTTGAGTGACATAAAGGATAATAAAGATGTTATGGACACGGTTACTATCCGAAAAGCAATGGAATCGCTTGAGAAAGAGCTTAGACGTGCTAAGACTTTGATCAAAAGCCCTGATTCTAAACAACCGAATACATGGATCGAAGATGTGATACAAGATCTTGGGAGATCCATAGGCCTTGTGCTCTTTGCTAGCATTGATCTTCATTTGGATGTGAAAGAGAAGATTGGTGCATTGCATAAAGAATTCATGAATGTGAGGCTTGATGCAAGCTTAAGCCTCAGTCCTAGCCCAAGCAATCAATCCGAGTTTGTTAGTGCAACAGCATCAGAGAAAGAAATTGAGGAAAGAACAGAAATAGAAGAGGAGAGAACAAATCTTACGATTGATGATGTTGTCTTGCAACTGAAATATGGTAATGATGAAGAATTCAACTTCGCACTTTTGGACTTCAACGAGTCTACTAGGCATGGATTGATTACAAATGAATGGATAAATGAAGAAGACATTATTCCCATTTTAGTTAATCGGTTAGGATCATGTAAGCCAAACAACCGTTTGATCATTCTTCGGACGCTGAGAAACCTCGCTTTAGAAAATGCTGAAAACAAGGTGCCATATTCTTTTCTTTCCATTTTTTATCCTGTTTTCAATGGAAAATTTTCTTGTTAGTTATCTTACGTTTTATACTAGTAAACAGGAAAAGATGGCAGATGCTACTTCTTTATCAGCATTGGTGAAATCTTTGACGCGAGATGTGGAAGAAAGGAGGGAAGCCGTAGGGCTGTTGCTTGATCTGTCAGATCTTTCTGCAGTTTGGAGACGGCTTGGCAGAATTCAAGGGTGCATTGTTATGTTAGTTACCATGTTTAATGGGGACGATCCAATTGCTTCGGACAATGCAGGGAAGTTATTAAATGCATTGTCAATTAATACACAAAATGCGCTGCATATGGCAGAGGCTGGTTACTTCAAGCCCCTAGTGCACTATTTGAATGAAGGTAACACAAAAATATCATTTACTTGCTACATTTGAGTTCTTGAGTGTTGACTCTTAGATGTTTTACAAATTTAGTATTGAATAAATATTAAACATGAAAACAAAGCGGTTCTAATCACACGACTTTGTTTAACACAATTAAAATAAAGTTTGCTCATCTTAGAATGTCCATCAAAATGTGTAGTAACTAAACTTGCATAAAAGCTGAAATGTAATTCTAGCACTCTTCCATTCAAAGGCTTAAGTTACCCGTTAAAATCATCGCCATGTCTTGCCAGGCTCAGACATGAGTAAGATCCTCATGGCAACTGCAATGTCAAGAATGGAGTTAACAGATCAAAGTAGAGCTTCCCTTGGAGAAGATGGAGCAGTTGAACCTCTTGTTAAGATGTTTAATGGTGGGAAGCTTGAAGCGAAGTTATCTGCTTTGCATGCATTGCAAAATTTATCAAATTTGCCAGAAAACGTACAACGGTTGATCAGTTCAGGCATGGTAGTATCTCTACTTCAGCTCCTTTTCTCTGTCACATCTGTGCTCATGACTCTTCGGGAGCCAGCTTCAGCGATTCTTGCAAGAATTGCACAGTCAGAATCTATTCTTGTTAATCAAGATGTAGCACAGCAAATGCTCTCCCTTCTAGATCTCTCAAGTCCTGTAATTCAGTATCACCTCCTACAAGCACTGAATAGTATTGCTGGCCATTCTAGTGCATCCAAAGTTAGAAGAAAAATGAAGGAAAATGGTGCAATTCAGCTTCTTCTACCCTTTCTAACCGAAAGTAACACTAAAATCAGGACTGGAGCATTGAATTTACTTTACACTCTTTCGAAATATTTACCTCAAGAATTGACAGAACAGATAGGGGAAAACCACCTGAACATCATTGTCAACATTATCTCATCATCATCATTGGAAAGTGATAAAGCTGCTGCAGTTGGCATACTGAGTAACATACCAATTAGCAATAAGAAAGTGACAGAGGTGCTTAAAAATGCAAATTTGCTGCCGATTTTGATATCTATAATGACTTCAAGTCCTTCAACCTTAACATCCACATGGCATTGGTTAGCAGAAGGTGTTGCAGGTATATTAATTCGATTTACAGTTCCTTCTGATAAAAGACTACAGCTTCTTGCGGCACAAAATGAGGTGATTCCTTTGCTTGTGAAGTTGCTTTCTAGTGGATCATTGGTTGCTAAATCTCGAGCTGCTACTTCACTAGGTCAGCTATCACAGAATTCACTGTCTCTGCGAAAGTCGAAAAAATCAAGCTGGTCCTGTGTCCCTCCTTCCACTGCTGCATTTTGTGAAGTCCATGACGGCTATTGCTACGTTAAGAACACATTTTGTTTGGTCAAGGCAGGTGCAATTCCTCCATTAGTCCAAATATTGGAAGGTAAAGATAGGGAAGCGGATGAAGCTGTTCTAAATGCAATTGCAACTCTATTGCAAGATGAAATCTGGGAAAATGGAAGTAATTACATTGCCAAAATATCAGGTGTTGAAGCAATTATAAAAATCCTGGAATCAACAACTGTAAAGGCTCAGGAGAAAGCACTATGGATATTGGAAAGGGTTTTCAAAGCCGAGGAGCATAGAGTAAAGTATGGGGAATCTACTCAGGTTTTGCTCATTGATCTAGCTCAGAATGGTGACCCACGGTTAAAATCATTAACTGCAAAATTATTGGCAGAGCTTGAACTCTTACAGCTTCAATCTAGTTACTTTTAAGAGTACAATTCCTACTACATATCAACAACTGTTTTCCGCATGTCAATTTGCTTTTACAGTTTATATACATTATATATATTTCTTTATTTCCTATAATAATAGTTGAGAACTTGACTGATCTACTTATTTTGTCTCATTTTTTTTTTTAAATTGAGTAATCATACTATACTAAAATTGAGAAAACCTTATTATGAAAGAAATTTTTAAAAAGGGAGGCTCGACTCAGCTGATGATCAGTTATCATCTAATGCGTTTCACTGTGCTAAGGATTAATCATTAATAGGATATTTGAAAAAGAATCCCTACAACATATTATCAAAGAACCTTGGGCCAGGTGAGCAGGGATTTTCTTTTTGTGCATAAGGATAAACAACTGTCAAATAAAAATTTAATAATTATTTAAAATTTTGATATTTTATTACAATCAATTAAATTTTAAATAATCTTTAAACATTTATGTTTACCCAATTGAACTCTTACACATTTATTTTTACTCAATTAACTCTCAATGAGATGGAAATAATTAGTTATTTTTTCGCTTATAAAGACTTTATTGATGAAAATAAATGTTTAAAAATTTAATCAACTACAAAAAATTAATAAAAGTTTAGATGATCATTAAATTTTAGTTCAGAAATTTCTTTTATCCTTTTGTTTTTTTTGCTTTTACGACAAAAAAAATGTTATAATTCAAAAAATTATATTGAAAAAAAAAACTCGTAAAATTAACGTAAAGAATATGAAAATTAAAATCTGAGATAGAATTTGTTAGAGAAATTCTTGTCATATATGTAAATAGTTCGAATTTCCAAATAAAATGAACATTTGTATCCTTTCGCTTTTCCCTTTTTTTAATTTTATTTTTTGGTTTTCATCACCGACGCTATAAAAGTTATGCATCTGTTAGACAGGTGCCGTTAGAAACAGGAAACTCATGCATGGCAGTATTCCATGCCATTCAATTTTAGGGATTAAAACACAACTTTTCGAGAGGTGAGTGATCTAAATAAAATAACTTTCGAAAAGGTGGGTAATCTAAATAAAAAAAAAAAAAGAAAAAACCCCGAAAAGCAAGATACGGGGCATTTCATGTTATTCAATTGTAGTGACCAAAACATAATTCTTAAAAAGCTGGTGAAAAAAAGATGATGTGGATTGCCCATGCATGACCAAAAACGCACAATGTTTGTAATGTTGAGGACCAAAGAAAAATTTAAATATTTTGGTGACTAACTGGGTAATTTACCCAAGAAATGTTGTTACCCTTTTTTATACATGTCTTTCATTGAAATGTCAGCAGATTGTTAATCAGTAAGGCTTTTGGCATTTACAACTCAAACCATCATAAAATTAATTACCTTTGTTAAACATTGAACAAGAATACATGTGTTATATCAATTCAACAAGTTTGATTGAATTGCACTCAAAACATCATGTAATTTTTTTATTAATCACTCATACGTGAAGTGTATACTTTTTCTTTCCATCGCATCGACGAAAAAAAAGTATAATTACATGACTAAATGCTATAACTTAGAGCTTTAATGCAAACTGCATTACAGCACGATTACCGTATTTGTTGAAATACAACATAAATATAGATCAACAGAGATCAACGTTTTAGATGTAATTTCATGTTGCCATATCTGATGACTGCTCCTTAATTATTCTACAGATCAAAGCAAGCATCCCACAGCCAGCAGCAGCACAAAGCAAAGAGACTGCAAACCAATTCAAGGCAAAATATATGTTAATTTTGATATGTTGCAAATGATTATTGAATTTGAAACATCTGTGTTTCTACTTTCTATAGCGGAACTATTCTAATTAATAATGAAAAAAAGGATGTTCAATTTGAAAGAAATGTTGGGAAAAAAAATAAATAATTTAAAGGCTGTAGTTTGAAGACTTACCATCCTTCAAGGAAGCTTCTGTTCTTGCCCGTGCCCTTGTTTCTTGTCACCGGAGGACAACAAGCTTCAAGTTCAGAAAGCAGAATTAAAATTGACAAAGATCTATACATTCGATAAACAAAAGAAAAAAAAAATGATCGATATGTGACATTGAGAGATCACCTGCTGACTTGTTGTCGCTTGTTCTATCTTGGTTTTGATGATTTTCCATGAGAAGATGGAGATCGGCTCTGGCTAGAAGATGTTATGTATGATTATAGGTATCGATGATTGTTCTTCAATCTGATGAACTTCCTTCTCCAAATTTGCATACTTATGTAAGCAAGGAAAGTGTTTTCATCGGCTGCTATTGATTGAAAATCTGCTACTTTCCGTGTTTCTAAATTTTATCTAATTAGAATCGGATTCTATATGAAAGTTCCAGTCCAGTCAGAGAAGCCACCATTGTCGCTGTAGGCAGATGCCATTTGCTCAACTATATATATATTGGGGAATCAATTTTTACAATACTAGGCCCTTTCTGCCAGCCAATATGGTTTGGTGGTAAAGGATGCACTTCATCTCTGATACGTTTTAGACTAATGAAAAATATCAATTCACCATCAGGAGGATTATGCGCATCTATTTTCTAATTCGTAGATTCAACTGTTTCGAAAAGTTATAATACCAAATAACTGGATGCATGCATCTATATATATTTAATATATATAAATTCATGGATTGAGTTGATATCGCATAGTAAAACAGATCTACTTATTAGGGATCAATGCTTGTAAAGAGTATTCTGAGACTAAAATCATGTGAATGAACTAAACCCATAACAAAAAAATTCGATATTTAAGATTGTCCAAAATAAAGATCAGGTTCGAATAAAGTCTGGAGACATCCTCGACTGTATTATCCCAAAAATAAACCTAGTTGACAAAATAAAATAAAAAAAATTATATAAAAACAAAGATACTTTATTTGTTACCGTTTACCTTTTCTATAAATAAATATTTATAATATGACAGATTTAAATTTATTTTATAATTTAAACTCAAATTTATTCTATTATTTTTTATTTGTGTTAAATTCAGATTAAGAGAAAAACTAAGAGATAATTTCAGAGATAAAAATAAAAAAGTTAAAGAAAAAAGCTCAGAGATAAAAATAAGACATTTTAAAGAAAAATTAACCCTCTTGAAGGGAGTGAGGGGGTATTTATATATATAAACTCAGATTAGATTATCAAAATATCTCTAATCAATTGTAAGTAACTCACTTAAGGTAAAAGATAATTATATTTTTATGACTCAAAAATGCCCCTAACACCTTCCATTAATTAATCTCTGTCTGTCTTCTAGCATTCATATTAGTTTTTGGAAACTATCTGTCAGAAAAAAAAATGGAAACTATCTGTCAGAAAAAAAATGTGAAAGGAATAAATAAACCACGCACTCTCAAGTTGATCTATAGAATTGCTAGAAAATCAAGAATATTCCGTTCTCTATTGGGACTTTACGTTAATGCTTTCCCATTGCTTTAAACAAAAACATTTTTCACGAATGTGGATACGCACTTTGATTTAATTTCCGCAATATAAAAATCTGAAATGACAATGGAATAATTAAGATAGAAATGGCAACTGTTATATTTTAATTAATCATACTAGTTTAGACAACAATACTTCCCCTTTCTTCCCGGTTTTCACATGGAAATCTTCAAAAGTTTTCGCATAAATTCAGGGAATTTAAGCTACAATTATCCTAAAACCAACATAAACCAACTTTAATACTAGCTAATACATTGATTGTGCCAAACAATTGTCACATTTTTTTTATGTAGGTCTTATGAAATTTAAGGACAAAATGGTATATTCATCTATTTATAATATTTATGACATTTAGGGATACTTTTATCTTTTGATTGATTTGGACATTTTTAACTTTTGGCCTGCCTACCGTGAGCATCTCTTATGCCTATTGACATGGATGAGCATCTCATCCTACGTGCAACCTATCTGACTGTGCTCTGATATATCATTCAGGAATTGGTTCACATTAGATCATATCAATCGGACCTATTCTAAGTCAAACCTCACTAGCTACGTCAGTTCAGGTATAAATATGCCTTTCTTTTCACAAGTAACCCTAGGTCACTCATTCTTCCCATTTGCTCTCATTTTCTATACTTTCCTTCCTCCTTTTTCTCATATACTCCGCTAGTTTGAGTATTGAAGCACTAACACATGAGTCACTTCCAACCTTTGCTTTTGACCATTGTTTTTGTTTTCAAGATTTAAGTTATTTCGAATTTTAGCATAAATATTTGACGCACTAGATAAGGGCCATTACTTGTTCTGGAATGAAGTTCAGAAAGAAAGTTGTGAAAGAAGGAGATCTGGCCATGGTGGTCGATTACCTTATAGACCAATGCTAGCTAAAGTCAACTGCAAGCTTCATTGACAATGAAAAAGTTTGACGCTTAACCCGTAAGCTCCAAAACCTAACAAAGCTACTCCAAAATAGCTTAACACCACCTCTACCATTGAAAGACCTTCATTTTACACCACTTATAAACCCAAAAACAACCATAGATCATGATAGTGACGTATAAAGTAAATCACATATACTAAATTGGTTGTGATTGATCTAGTTGTGACCGAAGTGTTGGTCGACCTAAAAAAAAAAAAACAGAAGAATCGTCTGAGCTAACATTGACCTAGTTAGTTGTGACCAAGGTGGTGGTTGACTTGAGAAAAGAAAGAAGGAAAAGATTGACCTACAATGGTATTTCTAATTCTTTTAATAAATTATATTTATTTTGTGTTAATATGTTGATAAAGGGAGCAATACCATGTGATGAGATTTAATATTAAAGCAACAAAAATGAATGAGCTCTATTATAACAATATGTGAAACTATAAAAGTGGATGAGCTCGGCCAAAAAGCTCATCTCGATAAGTTGAAGGCTTAACTCAACCACTTATGCAAAAGAACTCAGTTCAACAAATTACCTTCATAAAAGACCTGATCGACAAGATTGTTTTCAAAAGAGTTCATCACGATGAAATTACCTTCTTAAAGGTTCAGTTCAGCCAAAAAGCTCATCTTAACAAGTTACTTTCATAAAGACTCAGTTTGACAAAATTGCCTATAAAAGAGTTCATCATAACAAAATTACCTTCTTAGAGGTATAGCTTAGCAAAAGAGATCAACTTGATCAAAATTGCCTTTTTAAAGACTTAGCTCAACAAAAGAACTTAACTCAGTAAAGTTATCTCTAAAAAAGCTCATCATAATGAAATTATCTTCTTAAAAGCTTAACTTGACATAAAAGCTTAGCTCAACAAAAGTTGCTTTTAAAAAAGCTCATTTCAATAAAGTTTCCTTAAAAAAAGTTTAATTCGATAAAAATTCTTATCTTGGAATACGAGGTAAACAATATTGAAGAAATTGAGCTTAGAAAAACTTATAAGTACCATAAAACTTAGAAAAAGATAGGTGTAATATAAAAGAATTAAATTTAGAAAAATTTATCTTTAAGGTCTCGAAATAAAAAGAAAGAAGAACCATAAAATACGAAATGATGAATAAATGACTTAGAAATTCTAAGTGAAAGATTTGGGCAAAAACCAAAATCACTTATTCTAGAAATAACAACTTAAAAAATCCTAAGTTCAAACTTTGGGAAGAACAACGATCACCTATTTCAATCATATATTTTGCAATCACATTTTTTCAAGAATTGTAATTTTTCTAATAAATGGTATGAAAGACCTAATAAGAAGAGGTAAAACATTGTCACAAGTGATATGGAAAGCCTAATAAAAAGATATGAACATTTTTATAAATGATATGAAAGACCTCTTTATAAGAGGTGATCATTCTCATAAATGACATGAAAGGTTTCGTAAGAAAAGGTGAACTTTTTCATGAATTATATCAAAGACTTCATTAGAAAATGTAAGCATTCTCACGAATGATATAGAAGACCTTATAAAAAGAGGTGAGCATTCTCACAATGATATGCAACACCTTGTAAAAAAAATGAACATTCTCACGAATGATATGTAAAACCTTATAAGAAAATGTGCGCAAACATTCTCACTAATGATATGTAAAACCTTGTAAGAAAATGTAGGCATTCTCACGAATGATATGGAAGACCTCATAAGGAGACGCGAGTATTCTCACAAAGGATATAGAAGACCTCGTAAGAAGAGGTGAATATTCTCATAGATAATTTGAAAAACCTTATAAGGAGAGGTAAAAACATTATCATGAGTGATATGGAAGGCCTTATAAAAAGATATAAACATTTTCATAAATAAAATAGAAGACTTTATTAGAATAGGTGAGCATTCTCAAGAATAATATGAAAGGCCTCATAAGAAAATGTGAACATTCTCACGAGTGATATAGAAGACCTCGTAAGAAGAAGTGAGTATTATCATAAGTGATATAAAAAACTTTATTAGAAGAAGTGAGCATCCTTATGAATGATGTGAAAGACCTAGTAATAAGAGGTGAATATTCTCACGAATAATATGAAAAACCTCATAAAAAACGTGAGCATTCTCAAGAAGGATTTGAAAGAACTCGTAAGAAGATATGAGCATTCTCATGAATGATGTATAACACCTTATAAGAAGACATAAGCATTTTCACAAATGGTATAGAAGACCTTATAAAAAGAGGTGAACATTCTTATAAATGATATAAAAAAACCTTAGGGGATGAGGTGAACATTCTCACGAATAATATAGAAAGGCACAAAAACCTATTCTTAAAATAATCATCTCAAAGTATGAGGACAAAAATACTAAAAAAATGAAACTTAGAAAAATTTAAAAGTCCTTAAAATCTCTGAATATGAGAAAAATTATAGAATACAAAATGAGGAATATGTGACTTAAAAATTTTAAGTCAAAGCTTTAGACAAAAGTAAAAATCACCTAGTCTAGAAGTATTGACTTAAAAGAATTCTAAGTTCAAGCTTTGGCAAGAACTACGATCATCTATTCTAAAAACTTATTCTGAGATCACCTATTCCAACCAACTATTTGCTAGAGTTATAACTTTTTAAAAGAATAGCTAAGCAACATTACCTATTCTAGCCATTTATTCTTAGATTACCTATTCCAACAAACTATTTGTAAGAGTTGTAACTTTTCAAAGCAATATCTAACTAATATCATTTATTCCAATAACTTATTTAGCGATCACCTATTTCAACTAATTATTTGCAAGAGGTAAAACTTTTCAAATGAATAGCTAAGCAACACACTAATAGGAATAGGTGAATGTCCTTTAGAAGGAATAGGTAATTGAAGCACTAATGGAATAAATATACCAAACTCATTTATTCCACATAAAGCGTAGCTAAATGTTAACACATTTTCTATAGTATCACCTTAGGTTATAAGACATAAAAATTAAACAAATGACCTATTCTATATAAACTACCTTGGATTATAAGTTGTAAAAAGAGAAGTTATTTTAAAAATTTTCTAGTAGTCTAAATGGAACCATATATTCTAGAAGTGGTGAATAGTTACTTATAGAAGTGATTAATAAGTAAACATCCATTCAAAGCAATAAGTGAACAAAGCATCAATGAGAATAAGTAAACAAGATGGAGTCACCTTAAAATGTGAAAAGAAAAATATGAGAAAGATCATACTTTATCAAATTGTCTTTAAAACCACAGAATATGAAATAGGAATAAGTGATCTTAAAAAAGTTATCTTTAAGAACAAATGCCACATATTGCTATCACCTATTATAAAAGAAAATTATATCATGAAAAAGGGCCACCTATTCCTATCACTTATTTTAAAAGAAGAGAATAATTATTTATTCTCTTTGAATTACCCTAGAATATGAGGCATGAAAAGGGAAATTATGTAAATTTAAATTTTTAAGATATTGACAAAAGTTAAAATTACTTATTTTTTACAAACTACCTTGAATCATGAGTCAATATATATCTATATAGTTACAAATTTTTCAATTTGAATAATCAATAAAGAAAGGAATATGTGAACAAAGTGACACTTATTTCAAGAATTTACAGGACATGAAAAGTTACAAAAATCATACATAAAAATAGAAATCATACTTAGAAAAATTTTTAAGTATCTTAAGCATTTAAAAAAAAAAAAACTAAGAATAGCAAGCTTGAGAATTGCTAAAATGCTAAAGCAAATAAACGCAACATTCGTAGAATAAGAAAATAAACACAACATTCATTCATAATATTTAAAAATATTAAACAACACTTATGATAAAGGTGGAAATAGCTATACAAGTTATTACAAGAACTATAATAATATTTTAAGTACAATAAATTTAACATATGGCATCTTCTTAAACCTTGGCACTATCTAGTCTTCCTAATTTACATTAGTATCAACAACGATAACCTCGTATCACCTCTAGCTATTCTTTCATCCTTATCATCCAACTAGTTAGTATTTGAGATATAAAAAAGAATAGCTAAAAATACTAGCTAAAAGAAATAGGTGAAACCATAAACATTTACCAACCAGAAGAATTAAGTTCAAAGTTATTCTATGAGAAAATTTCTTATACTCATTGCCATTATTTTCAAGTTTAATAGATAAAGTAACTAACTTTGGTGGAGACCCGATCTCAATAGAAGAGAGAAGGATAAAATGAGTTTAAATTCAATATAAAAAAATTGATGTAAAGCTATTTAAAAGAGAAATACCTAAATAGAATACAAGATGAGTAAGACTTGAATATTGACGTAAATACCTAAAGAAAAGTGATTTCCTTTTACAAAACTGAGAAAGCTAAAAGGAATAAGTGAAAGTTTTAAAAATTACTAAAACCCTAAAGAATAGGTGAAACACCCAAAGAAACCTCTAAAACTTTTTTGAAGTTAAAATGAAAAGCTTTTTGGATGAAAAAATTTATAAAAGAAAAAGATTATCTTTCATTTCTCTATACTAAAAAAATATATGTAAACAATTTAGTTGACAAAATACCTCGCCAAAATACTTTACCAAGGTTAAACAAAATACCTCATTAGAATACCTTACTAAAGCTAGTACTAAAAGAGCTTATATCAACATGATAGATCATGAAAGTTCATCACATAATACGTAAGCAAGCTATTCTTCTAGCATAAGATAGATATTCTAACCTGACAATTAGACCTAAATAAGATCAATGGAGGAATAACTCAAGCCTATTTTGCCTAACAAACATTGACCTATGTAGAAATCAAATCACTTAGTCTGAATTATCAAACTAGTTAATGGAAGGACAAAATGATGTAGAGTTGTGAATTTTAAGGGCAAAATAATATTTTTAGGTATTTGTAATATGTTTTACATTTAAGGGCATTTTTATCTTTTGATCAATCTAGGCATTTTCGATTTTTGGCTGACTTGATGTATATACCTCTTACGACTGCTAACGTGGATGAGCACCTTATCTTATGTGCATCCCATCTGACTATGCTGACATATCATTTAAAAATTAGTCTTCTTTAGATTAGGTCAGTCAAACTTATTCAGATCTCACAAGCTATGTCAGCTAAGTTTTAAAATATGCCTTGCCTTTTATAGTACCCTAGGTAAGTCATTCACCTTATTTATTTTCATTTTTTATACTTTTTTTTTCATATATTTACTGACTTGAACATTGGAGTATAAACACTGAAATCACTTCAAGCTTTTGCTACTTCAAGCTTTTGCTCTTAATCATTGTTCTTGTTTTCAGGGATTTGAGCTATTTTGAATTTTAGCACAAATATTTTTTTTTTTGAAAGATAATTTGTATGCATTCCTTCTTTCTCTTTTGGATGAATTCTAAAAGATTATAAGATTTTAGGATTTAAATAGCTATCAAAATAGAAGAAAAAAAAAGTAATAAAGATAGTGAAAAAATATACATGCATGCATGTGTGTGTATATATATATATATATATATATGTATATATGTAAAAATAAATGCTTTGACTAGTATGTCTAAATCAGAACCAGGAACCATTTAAATCAATAAAGAAAGCTATGGAAGTTACAATTCACATTACTTTTGATACCTTAAAACGGAATTGGGATCTTCCCCCATTTGAAAAATGTTTAAAGCCCCTTTTCGGATATTGTACGTACAAAAGGAATATCAAATATTAATTGCACATTAGGATTGACAAGAATAAAATTCTAGTTAGCCTAAAGCGTTAATTTAGCGAGTCAAAATTGGATTTGAGTGAAATCATTTTGGATGAAAAAAAAAAAAGTTATTTTGGATTTTAATATTTTGGTTTTTATAATATTAGATTCAGATTTTTTGAGGATTTTTTAAAGTAACAATTAAATTATTCCAGGCATAGATTATTGAATTCAAATTGTTAAATTTTAAAATTAAATTAATTTAATTTTGAATTTTTTAGATTAATTTTTTAGACCATTCTATTTTAGATTATTTTATATTTAAATGAAAAAAATGTCTTATATAGCCCCTACTCTATTATTTTTTATTGGATTTGATATCTAAATTAAAATAATTGCTAAATAAGTATTTAAGCTCTGAAATTGTAAATTAATTTGATCTAAAAGTTAATTTCATTAATCGAATTGCTGATTTGACTATTTTAACCAGTAAAAAACTGCCATCTGCATACAAAATGAAATGTTAAGTTGGGTACAAGAAAGGAAGAGATTTCCGTTGGGAGAGAAAAAGAGAAAACGGAGGAGATTTCAGGGTCAAACTTAATACGCGGTAAATTTTGATTGGCTTAAAATTTTTCTTATTTTCCTTTCATTGTTTCCGATGTATGAAAAACAAATATAATAGGGATTATCTAAAACTAATAAAATCTTTAGCTTCAGTTATCCCTCAATCGATCTACTTTGACACTTTCAAGCAAACTACTGCTATTAGTATCTTTTCCATTCTGCCAACTGTCTCAAGAAAACCCTGAATCTTTGCTACCAATAATCCCCACAAGAGCACATGCCATTTCGGAAGTGATGAAAGCGTGTAGAATCTCTTACAATGATCTCACGCCCCACAATCTTTGCTACCAACTTAATGGCACTATGGCAATCGCCACATGCACGAAGATTCTTCCATCACTGTTATTGCTCTGCCCTCTGCAATGGTCACCAACCCAAATGCAATGGCAAGCCTCTCGCTATGATAAGACAACATCTCTTGCTTCTGCTTATCCTCGACATCATGGAGGGCAAACCTCTCATCCGGAATATAGCGACACTCCTTCAGTTTTCCTCCCAACCAATTCGGCTTTTGATACATCTTTTCACTGAGAGGGTGAGACCTATCTCCAGAAACAAACTCGTGTCGCACTCCCCTCGATGTAACCCAACTGCAACCTGGTTGTTTCACAATTCCTCTCCGTTTCATCTGTACTCTCATTCTCGAGACATCACTCCATTTACCAGCAGAAGCATATAAATTAGAATCTTGGACCAAAATTTTCATGTTGAATCTGGCAATGTTTTCATTAAACAGGTTGAGTAGCCATGCATATAAACACTTTTTTTTTCTTTTTTTATCAGAGATACAAACTGAATTCAAATCATATTACAAGAGGCTACTAACCAAAATACCAACCAAAGACTGATATCATTTAACACTTCTCTCTATAGACCCTAACTTTTCAGTCTAGAATACAACAGACACTAATCAATCTAGACAAAGCTAGGGACTCAACAAGAATTTACAAAGTTTAATTGCATTTGTTTTACCTATGGTCTTCTCTGTTGTTGTTCTTGATTCAGAAGCTATTGCTGATGTTGATTATGTTTGATAAGGAGTTGAGTATACACTAGCTCATTCCAAGTATCAGGAACACCAGGGAGGCACCAGTGGCTGCAGTCCTGGATTCTACTAGGTGAACTTCTCTCCTCCTCAGTTAAGTTCTGCTTCCGGTATATTGATGGATGAGCATCCTTCCGAAAACCAGTCATTCTCGAAACATTTAGATACAAGACAGGTGTAGTCATGCCATTTATCACTGACTCAAAAATTCGCATTTTTGATGGATACTTCTTCACGTAATTCTCATTTGTAATAGGTTCTGTTTCACCATCACATTGCCCACCAGAGTTCCATCTTCCACCCCTGTGAACAGGTAAAATGAATTAAGAGGCAATCTGTTTCCCCAATTAAAGGGTTTAACCTAACATATCTTTTATGTTCAATTTACCTGAAGTGTGATGCAGAAAAGCCCCTGAAGAAAACAAGGGTCTTCATAGAATCTATATTAGTATCTATCCATCTTGCCCATGTAGTCAAAGCTTTACGAAATGCCACTTTAACATTTAATCTATCATAGATAGTGCTATCCTCTTGATAGTAACCCTTCCTGCAAATTTCTTAAACTGTTTAAGAGCTTCTCCACTTAAGATCATCATTATCAACAATATGAACGAATAGGTAGCATCAACATTACCCTTTGGAAGTTTTTTCATGAGTCCACCAATGTCCGGTGTTGAAGATGATAACATCTGCATTTTTGTACTTATCAGATGATTTATCAATCATGTCAAGTCGAAGTGTTTCCTTCTTTGATCCATTTCTCTCAAGAATGTGCCACTCTTGAACTAGAAATGGCGATCGGAAGTACTCAACCGAGCAATTATAATCCTGTTCATCCAGCCAAAACTAGTATGTTAAATGCAAGAAAAAGACTTCTTTTTCTTTAAGCATAGGAAAGAAAACTATCTGACTGCAATTCTGCAAGTAGTCTACATCAAAAGAGAAGAATAAGGACAAACATACTTTGAATAAAATGGCGTAAGAACCCTCTGCTCGTAATTCAAGCCTACCAGAGGCTTCAAAGACGTTGCTTTTCTCCACAACAGAATTTTTAAGGACACAAACCAGAGATTCCCACATATTTCTACCGAGTGAATCGCCAACAAAAGCTACACGCTTGCCTCTCAATAATTCCAACATTTGCTTACCATTCAATCTGCAAAAAACTCCACCCAAAACCAATCTAAATAAAGCAAAAGATAAAAATAAATAAAGAAAATAATAAAGAAAAGATACCAACTACAGGATATATGAAGTTACAATCATTTGAACTTGCTTGGATTCAGCTTCTTAAGGGTAAGCCACCTCAGGTTTCTATTCTCTAGATAGCTTGCTTGGATACAGTTACATTTATCCAAAAAAAAAAAAAGTTCCAATCATATCCAGCAAATATTATTTATAATTACACATGAACATGAAGACACCTGCACACTTTTGCACTCCTCAACATAGTTTAAAAATATAAAGTCCTGATATGTAACCACAACCACTATAGATTCAAATTAGCACAATTTCTTTACATAAAAATAATCAACAAATCTAAATTTAAATATCAGCACTTGGTAAATTACCTTGGCATGATGCATCCATTGGGTTGCCATCGGTATTTCTCATAGCCCCTATCAGGCCTACCATTAAGAAAGCAATTGAAAGACTCATCAATATGAGGACAAGACCCTGGGGCATACAGAGGGTAAGTATCATCCCTAACCCATTTCCCATCAAATATTCTACAATGACTCGTTATTTCCACAAAATTTCCCTTGCTCTGCTTCTCAAGAATTTCATCACTGCTTCCATCCAATGTCACATTACTAGAAACACTCACCTTCTCTAAAATTCCTTCCTTTAATTCTTTTCCACTTTCTCTAAAATTTAAAGACTGGGAAGAACTGCCAGGACTGCTGGTTACATTACCATTTAAGGCAACAGTAGGAGTGTTAAAAGCATTATTGCCCTTTAAATGAATCTCTGATTCTCCACTGTAGACTTGATCACTAGTAAAAGACTCATCTTTTCCACCAAATCTTTCACTTTCTTGAGAAATCTGAAAAGGGCCTCCATGGTTACCTTCTCTTGACAAAGACCAATCCTTTTTTCCATGAAATCTTTCAGATTCCTGAGAAATCTGAAAAGGGTTGTCTTGGGTTTGAGAAACATGAAGTGGGTAGTGACTGGATTGCGAAAAGTTGGGGAGAAAGTGAGAGAAAAGAGAGGAAAAATGGGATCTGTAAGAGGAAGTTTGCAGGAAGTTTTTAAGCCGAGGAGAAGAGTAAGAAGAAGGGTTGAGCAATAACAAAGTTGTAAAACCAAGAAAAAAAACAGAAGTGAAGCTAAAAGCAAAAGCCACTGTTTTTCTTGTCGTAAAGAGTGAGAATGTTGTCGTCTTTGATTCTGTTATAGTCGGTGAAGGGTGCTTTGCATCAGCCATTGCAACAAGATAAAAACAGCCGGGAAGAGTCTTCAGCCTTGCAACAAGATCAGTGTTTCCTATTTTGTATAATCTAATGCTATAATAAGTAAAAATCTGGTTATTTGCATGTAATAATTACTGAACAATACTGTAATTTCAACATGGAAATCCTATAAATTGCTAAATAATGGTAGTACAAAACATGAGGTGGGACCAGATGGAGGACTCTTGTTCTAACCGACCGTACAAACTTTTAAAATTATATAAGTCTAAAACTTCAATATTTTATTAATAAATCACACAAAATTTACATAAAATATTTTAATAGATGAAAAAATATAATTAACAATAAAAAAATCATATACCAAATTAAGGGTTTGCTGGAGGCTGTACGGGACTTTAGTTATAGCTGGATTATTATCTATAAAAATATATAAAAACAATCTCCATCATTTATTGTAAGGGCAGATCAACAATATATAATAAAATAATTTAAAGGGTACGAGGGAAAGGAATCCACTTGTATCCTCTGCCCTTTTATTTGTTTTTCCCTTCTCCTTAATTTTTTTCCATTTTTTAAATTTTTTTTCCTTTCAATCTAATCCCATCTTTGACATCACCAACAGTTAGCTAATCAATTTTTTTCACCAAAACGCTAATTCCCTAGAATTCTCCATTCATTTTCTTCGCTTCTTGATCAATTTTCTCTCTCAAAAGCTTTTGGATCCCAAGCTCACTGACAAGGCAAGTCTCTACCTTGCATGTTTCCTTTTCCCTTTTTTAATTTCTCTTTAATTGTTTCGATAAAGGTGATCTCTGTTGCTTGCTCTGCTTTCTCCTTTTGTGAGAGTTTTTTCTTTTGGATCCTTATTGTGGTTTTGTTTCTGTGTTTGTTTTCATAGTGTATGTTAGCTGTGTACATCTCATTGTCTGAGGATGGCAAAAAGTGATTTAAGGTTGTTTATAGTGTTTCATATTATCCTTGCTTGAAAAGTCCTATACGAGTGCTATGAAGATGTTGCAAGTGGAAGCGAGATTTGCAGTGTTGTTTTGGTTGGGCGTCAATTTCATGTAAGTTTATAATACTGTATTCCTGCTTTTTTCAGTTTTGCTCATGATAGATCCTCATTTCATGAAACAGCTCGAAGAGGATTTACAGATAGTCGGATGTATTATAACCGATGCGAATGCCACTGCTTTTCTTCATGCCAAAGCCTATGGTATATAATTTTTTCTCTCTTTTTTTTTTTTTTTTAATTTTCATGATATTTGTTAATTAATTTATAATTGGGAATGCTAAGAAAATTTCTGAAAATATTTCATGGACCAATCAATGTGCATGGATTCTGTAAAAATATCCTGTTGAAAGTTAAGGAGGAATATAACAACTACAAAGTAAGCATCACTTCTTTATAACTTTTTTCTTTGAAATTTGTTTATATTCTTTGATTGTTTTTATTGGCAACCGAACATATTCTTCATATACACACTTGCGAATTGGTTTAGTTTAATCCAATGGAAGAAGAATGTGGGGTGTGATATTGCTTTCTTTTTCTCAATAACTTTTTGAAAATTATGGAATTTTGTTTAGTTGTTTTTCCTCAATTGGCGATGATGATATAAAGTGAGGTGACAAATTAAAAATAATAAAAATAATAATGTTCATGGGCAATAGAGATTTGGGGATGACTATGTTTGATATATAGTTTAAGGCAAATATTTCAATGGGGACCAACTAAGATGATCCTCTATTTATATAGTTTTGACTTTGTTTTCTAACAATCATAATAATCAAGCTCTTTTTCAACACCTAGATGCTTATCTAACACTACTTTAGTATTTGAGAAAATTTGTTGGGTTTGAGAACAGAATTTGGTGATAGAGAGACAAAGAAATGAAAATTGATTCTACAGTGGGAAAGTGGTAACTGAGTTTGATTGTGCAAAACTTTATAAATGCTAACTATCTCAGCTTTCCGTATTCAGCAGATGGATGTGAACTTTGTAACTAAGCTTCAAGTCTTCACTTAAGAAAGAATTAAAACTACAAGATTTTGAAATTCTAGAGACTGAATGCTTCACCAATGATGTTTTGCTCAAGTAATCATAACTTTTGGTAATAGTTAAAGATTCTAAGCATACATATAAGCAGCAATAAGATTACTGCTGTGAAATGTTTTTATATATATCTACGAAGAGATTTATTTCATAACAAGCTGTCATTTATAGGATGATAATGATGAGCTCTGGGGATGCCCTGGAACTCCTGCTTTTACTTCATCTGAGTGCTGCTTGAGTATGTACATTAATTCGGTTCATGTGGTTTTCAAAATCTTTGGCAAGTACTAATTTAAGGGACAATATATAAGAAACTTTACCAAGGACAGCCAAAATTCTTTTTGAGCATAAATTAATTTCAAGGATAAACGTTTTAGTGAAAGAAGTGTGCAATCTGTGCATGTCGAAAGACAAAAGCATAATTTGCCACATGAGATTTACAGCATTTTCATCACACTATTTCAACCTTTGGTATAAAAATCATATATACCTTTCAATGGATAACGGACACAGTTTATCATGGAAAAGCAGCAGATATATGGGCTACAGGTCTTACCCTATATTACATGTCCAAAGATAGGCGTTACCCTATCTTTCCCCAACTATGTTCCTGCTTTTGAGTTTTACCTTTCCTTTAACATAGTCATTGCTGCAGATTTTAAACTAACCTTTATTACTTCCAGTGGAACTAGATACAGGGCTCAATGATCTGCTCCAAGGCCTTTTATGCAAAGTTCATCTCTATTTCTCTATTTTTCTTCTTTCTAAGGTCCAAAGAAGTACGTAGGACATTTTAGATTTCATTGATCGAATCTTTTGACTAAAAATTGTTCTCCTTTGTTTCTGATATGCTGACCATACGCTACGAATAACCTTAGACATTGTTGCTGAGCCCCAAGAAAATATTTCATGGTTCTCATATTCGTACGGTTTAATGTTATTAGCCAATACATTGAAAAGGTTTTTAATTTGTATATGAATACAGAAATCATTTTCTCAGTGGAGAACCAAAGTAATTGATGCATTAATTCTTTACAATCAGAACATTAATTTCAAATTTCTTTCAAAGTACAATAACCAAAGAATAGAAAATTTTGTTTTACACAAACTACAAATAGAGTACTAAAACATGGGAATTAGTAAGTAATTTCATGTTCTTCAGCATATTCTTGAGTTGCTGTTCTAAAGCTCCTTGATGACGATGAAGGCTCAACTCCTTGAGGTATATCAGAGAGAGAGGCCAAAAATTGGCGAATGCTTAAAGAACGAGCAGGTTTGAAGCTTAATGATCTCATCTTGTTCCTGGAGAAAATGTCAGATGACTTAGAAAGGATTAGATAAACCAGTGCTTGAACAATGACGAACATGAGCACCTTCATCAAGGAATCTGCCAAGGATATCTCTACTTCCATAACGGGATTCTGATCAGAGATTAGTTACAAAAGTATTTCGTAAAGAATTGAAAGATGGAATTCCTGAAGAAACAATGCTTAGGGAAGGGAGTATATATAGGGGGGGTGTGAAGATTGGAAGAGTTGGCACATGGAAAACTGCCTGTTTGACTTGTAGCCCAAGCCTGGAAGTTAATACATTGACCACACGCAATCGGATTGTGAAATTGTCTTAGGTTTTTGTTAGAGGAAAAAGAAGGTTAGCCCGATCAGCCTCATGAGCCCGACAAACCTCCTAATCCTGGATAATACTAGTTGCACGACAGGAATTATGTAATTCTTCTATTTAATTACTTGCTGTTTCTATCATGTAGGTTCTGTTATAAAAAAAAAAAAAAATAGAAAAATCTAGAAAACTTATCAATTGATCAGATTGATCAGCTATAAGAATCCTGGTTGATGTTTGACCATGATTGGGCAATGAATGGATGAAATGGTCCTGGTTGATGTTTGATACGTAATATCTACCAAACATTTGTTATTGTAGGTAAGAGTAGTTTATATCAGCTTTTATGTTAATACCTGACAAAAACATGGTTTTAAAGTGGCTTGAGGTGCTTGGACGGCTTTTTAAGGATAAGACGCATCAGAAGAAACAGAGGAAACTGTCCTGAAATAAAAGCAAAGTGTTATTAGGCTGGATAAAGCTTTCATGGCCTGCTGCCTCATTGGATAAAGCTTGTGTTGTTAGGCTGAGTTGGCTAGCTCCATTAATTACGTGTACGCTGGTTGTTGGAAAGTTAGCAAGGAAATCAAAGGTAAAGCTTTTGCGCTAATTAATGATCATTAATGGACCTTTCCCATCATGATTTTGATTTCTTCCCACATCCAACGTCCTCTTCCTAATATCCCGATTAATCTCTCGTCGATTTTTTTCTTACCACAAACATATTTCTTCTCTAATATTTTCATGTTTTTATTATTATTATTATTATTATTATTATTATTATTATGATTAGAGATTATATCAGTCTTTTCCCATATATAGGAATAAAAAATACTTTAATTTAAATTTAAAATTTAAATTCAAATAATTCACTCACGTTTTTAACTTTTGTTAAATTAAAAATTTTCAATTAATTTTCTTTAACATCCCCACCATCTTAAACCTTCTTTCTAATGCCTTTGTGTGTTTCCTGCGGGTTTTACACTAAGGTTTTGTTTGATAATTAAAAAATTAGGTGTTGAAAATTTAATTATTGAATTTTTAATACTAAATTTGATAAATATTGAATTGAATTATAAAAACTATTTAATATTTTATTGAAAATTAAATGCTGAATATAAATATATTATTTGCTAATTATAAAATATTAAATATTAAAAATTTATTATTTTATATTTTTATCTTTATTTTCATTGCAGATAATGAAACAATATTTTTAGAGGATAATAGCTTAAAAAATATTTTAAAAAATTTACTGAATAATTTTTGTATTAAAAGAAAATTTAGTCTTTACCAACTCATTCATCGTATTCAACATTTTTTTATTAAAAAAATTCTATCAAGAAGATTATATACTGCATTATCAAAGGCATTGAAAAAATTAAATTTTTGAAAACTTTATTTTAAATGCGTTATCAAACAGGGAACTGTGCCACACTATTTAAACTAATTACGATTTAAATTTGAAAATGATGCAAATTTCCACTTCCATTACTCAGCAAATGGCCCATGTACTTGGGCCTTTTCAGGTATGATCCATGTCATCTTGGGCCGACCTTTGCCATTGGCCACTCTAACTGTTTAATATACCTTTACAAGTATAGCTAATAACTCGTGTTTTCATATCGTATTTTATATCATTTTTAATACATATAGTAATACGAATTATTAGAATATGAAATGACATGAATTATAAAATGTATTTAAATCTTAAATATAAATACGATATCTTTATTATACGTGTTACACGTAATATAACATGATACAACTAACACGCGTATATTTAATCCATTTAAACACAATATGAATGAACAAAAATAACACAAATAGACATTAATAAATATAACTAACACGAATATACATAAAAATACGACTAAAATAATAAACAATTATAAACTAGTTATCATTTATAATTTACAAATTACAATTTAGTATTAACCAAATAAGACTAATTACTAAATTTGTGAAGACACTACTAATTACTAAATTTGTGAAGACACTAAACACTAAATAATAGTCGATAACTTACTCCTTTTACACATTTACATAATATAAATTATACTACATCAAGTCCAAATCTCTAACCTTCATAAGTGACGTTTCACTAAAGACAATAAGCAACAACTTACATAAAAAAAAAAAATAATATCTTCAATTCATTCCATACTTCATAATATAAATATAAATAAATATATATAAATATATATTTAAAATAGTAAAATAATTCACAAATATCCAAGTGTAGATAGTAGATACCAACATAACATCAAATATCATCCTCAATTCATAAATAAGGCATACCAACCTACTAGGTCAATGTATTCAAAATAAATAAATATGAATATAAATATGAATAGACAATAATCATATATGTATGTATTATAAAAGGTTTATTCCAAAAGCTACATTTTTTATACTTTATACTTTTTTGTTTTTTCCTACACATAATATTAATATATTGATACAAGAATTTTTTTTTTCTAATGCTATATATTTTCAATAAGTACTTTATTAGTATGATTTATTTGTAAAAGATCCTAATGACTTCTTAAAATTATTTTAAAATATCAAATTAATATAGTTATGTTACTTATAATAATTTTTTATACATTATAATATGATTAAAATAAATTACATATTTTAATTATCATGGGTATACTCATATATATATGATTTAGAATAAATTATATAATCTCTTTAATTAATATGAGTATCATATGATGTGATTTAGATTTTAGAATAAAGTATATAAAACTAGTCACTAAGATAAATATATACATTACATTATAATAATGCTTTATCATGTCATATAAAAATATAAATTATATATTCTCTTATCATTTTAAATGTTATTTAGAACAAATATGTTATGTTTAACTTCAAACGTATATATAATATCTTATCCTGAGGTTTAAAATAAAATATTTAAAATAAGTCGTCGAGATATTTATTTATAGTAATAATTTATAAGTTACGTTTTAATAATATCGTATCATGTAATATAAAATAAATTATATAATTTTTATCATTATGCATATTATTTAGAATATTTGTTATTTTTAATTTCAAAATATAATCTTTTATTTTAACTCTTATAATTTAAAATAATTACATATCATGATTCATGTTATTAAGATGATTATATAGTTTCTTATTATTATAAATACTATTTATTATCAGTATAATCTATTAATGTATATACATGTCATTTGAATTTACATTGCTTAATCAATGACCATAATATTAGATGTTACTTGTTATTAATAATTAAGTGTATACTATCCTTTTTCAATTCTTTTTTAATAAAAACACTTTTTTTTAATCTTATTCTAAAAAGTTACAAAAAACAATATATATTTAGTATGTTAAAATTTATATATATATATGTAATATATACGTTATTAATATAAAAAATATTAGTTGCATACTAAAAGTATATAAAAAAAATTTGATAACAATTTAAAATGCATTTAATACATATATATATATATTTAAATTTTAATGTACACATAATTACTAATATAACAACGATAAATGTATATATAATTATATTAGTTTTTACTACCAAATTCAAAATGATGAACTACTAAAGATTAAAGAATAAAATAAGGTTATCTGGTATTAATAATATTATTTATATTGTATTTATATTATTAATATAAAAATAATTTTATAATAATTATTAAATGAGTATCATAATTAAATATTTAAAATAATTTTTATATGATATTAAATAGCTAATTAGATATCATAATTAAAAGATTAAAAATTAAAATAATCTTTATATGTTTATATTGAATTAAAATAATAATAAAAATGTGTTAAACGTATTAAATATATTAAATATATATACGTGACATGATTAAATTAAACATATTTTTAGTGTTATATTACGTGTTAAACATGCATTTACGTGACATATTTTATTTAAATATGCTTTTTATATCTTATACATGTTTAGACATGTCAATATATATAAAGCACGAATTGTGTCATATTGAAATTAATTTTAATACGAATAAATACGAGACATTTTTTTAAAAATATATATAATTTTTTTCATATTATTTTTATGTCATATCACCGTATCGTATGTAAAATTATTAAATCTATTTACGAGTGAAAGGAGAGAAATAAACAAGTAAATAAAAAACATTCATTATATTGTCATATAACATAGCATATGTTTACATTAGCGACACCAATTTTTGTCTAAAAAGAACAATTAGTTTGTTTAATAACATAAATGAAGCAATTCAAGGTGAAATAAAAAAAAATTCATTTCAATATTAGGAGTGATAACAAATCATATTAAAATTTGATTTAAATCTGAATCAAACTTCATACGATCTAATATGAATTAAATTTTATATATTCAGTTTAATTCATTAATTTTTTAAATTAATTTTTTGTTTTTTAATATATTATTTTAATATATTTAAATAAATTAAAGTGTAAAATAATTATTTTTATTTTATAAAAATTTTAAAAATATATAAAAGTTAATAAAAATATATAATATAGCTCGATTTGATTTTTTTTTATTTTTCAATTTCAACTTAAAATATAAATTTAATATTCAAATTTAATTCAAAATAAATAAAAAAAAATGATTCAGATTAAACATTATTATTTTAAATTACTTTTTAAGTTTTTAAAATTTTTTCTCCCACCTCTGCGCAAGACTTGTCTAAAAGATTCTTTGGTCCTTTTATTCAAAGTGTAACTTTTGGTCCTTTGATCTTTAATCAACATAATTATCATTAAGTAATTGAAATTAAAGAAATTTTTAAAAAACTAATTATACAATGATAAAAAAAAATTTTATTCAAAATTACCAACTCTGAAACCATAATCAATTATTTATGACCATCTTGAATGCAGGATATCGTGAAATTCCATTAGAAAAGGAAATTAGTTTTCCTTTAAAAAATTTTTTTTTTTAAAAAGAGTGGTCATTTCATTAGCCAACTCATTATGGGGACAACTTAGTTTAATATTGTGTAAGTGCATATGTGTCAGTATGTGAGTAGAAATATGATCCAAATCTACAATCTTCGACTCCTTGCTAAGGTTTTTAGGGCACGCAAATTGCGGAGCCAAGCCAACTTTAACGGCCTTTCCTCAACGTTTACCCCTTTTCTTTCTTTCTTGTCTGAAATGATTCAATTATTTTAGTGGGGCTTAAAAAGTGGGATTGAATTGAATATTCCAATGCAATTGCAAATTGGCTTTGGTCTGGCTGTTACCGCTATTTGGTCAATTAAGACTGGATGACCTGATAAAAGTTTCCATCTTGGTAAGTTTTGGTGAGTTCCTTTTTGTTGATTGATTTAAGCTGTTGAGATTGGATTTTCATCTGGGTACTGCTCTTCTTGATTTTTTTTTTTTTATCTAATTGACTTTGATTTTGGTTACATATTTGAACTGGGTTCTTGTTTTGTTATCTAAAGTTGGGGAGGGGAGGTTGGCCGATTCAAGTTTTATTTTTTATTTTTTAAGTTTTTTATGGGTAGCTTATGCATTTGAAATGAAAATTTCTTTGATAGGGAGAAGGGGGAAATGCTTTTCCTTATTAAAATGTTAGATTTGCTGGTAAATTTACCAATTTTGGGCTGTTACAGTTAAGTGAGCCTCATGAGTACCTCCAAGCCCCATTTATGGCTTTTTTGTTATGTAAATAATACTTTTTTAATTTTTTGCTCTTTGACAAGTACTTGGATCATTGAATGGTCTGTACTTCATACTTTTCGTGATTTATATATTGATCTGTTTCAAATTGTAGACCCTAAAATAGATCCACTACTCATAAAGGAAAATGAGAAAAATAGTAATCTTGCTATCGGGTTAGAGCTTGAGAATAAGCATTCCTCACATTGTCATATCAATGTGTTCCCTTGATTAGTTGGCATTGAACATCTTTAGTTGGTTGCAAAATCTACAGCTTCTCATGTGTCTTAGAGGACTTCCAATGGTAGTTAGCAAGCTACTTTTCAGTAAAATTGTAGCGATAGGGCTAATGTTCTTTCTTTGGAGATTTTGACTGAAATCTAGCAGTGTAGGAGGTGGCAGTGTTTATTTTGATAGGACGAGAACTGAAAGAAAGAATGTATTGATGAGATGAATTTCAATTGTTGGGTAGAAACTTAGAATTATTTCTAGAAAATTGGTTAATTTGTTAAAGAGTCCAGCAGTTTCAAAAAATGCTGTATACAAATGCCCTTCTTCCTCATATGTTAAGCATACGAGGAAGAACTTGTTTGATCAGGTGTATTTATATTACTGAGTATACATCATTTTCAATATTGACTGATGCCCTAGTCACATTTGGGTATTTAATAGCTTTCAGGTGTTTTTCTTCTTACTCAAGTTGCTATTCTCTCAAATTAGTACACCTTTGTTGAATGTTGTTATTCCATTTTGAAAATTGAGAATATTCTTTTGCTGACTTTAAAACTGGATTGTTTGAGTAGAACATCTTTTCATTTCTGAGCTTGATTATTGTTTTATGCTTTATCCTTCTTTTTCGCCTTACTGTTTACTCATATCAATCCAATAAATGAAAATTAGATCATTAAAATTTCCCTTTATTTGATAATCCTTTTTCCTTTGGCTACTCCTAAGACAAGAAGCCAGAACCACTTCCTCACGCTCCCATGTAAGGACCTAGTTAAATAGTAGTCTTTAGGAGGCTTCTTGACAATAAAGATTTCCGCAAGCATCACAGGCCTCTTCTTGAACTTATAACAAAATACATACTTGTAACACAAGAAATTTGGTACTTCTTAAGCTACTATAATGACAAATGGATCATGCTGCTGACGCTTCATTCTAACCACTTTAGGTTGTAATCTTAGATCTGTTACATAAGAGTATGACCTATTATGTACTTAGTAAAAGTGTTCAGTGGATCTTCTTGGTATATTTTATTGGTTCATCTCTCTTCCCCTACCTCTATCTTGGGCTTGTTGAAAATTCCTCCTAGCTATTGAATTTGTCAAGATGAGTTCTAAAGTATATGGCTGCCCTTAACGTTTTTGCTGTAGAAAGTTCATGGTTTTCCTTGATTTAGATTGATTGAACTTCTAATATCTAATATTATTATTAGTAGGGAAATGCCTTTTATAGATATTTAGAATGGAGGGAATTGCAGAAAAGATTATGAAGATGCGGAGTTAAGAGAGAAGGTCCAATTCATCCCCCACCCTCCCTCACGTGGTTTCCCCTACACTAGATTCAAACGAAGAGTGTGTGCTGGCATTAACATTCAAAACTACAATATGGTACCCGGTGGTGGTATCTGCAGAGATGTGATCGAGTCTCGCATCACATTTGCAGACTATGATATGGCAGCTTCAAGCGCAGAGTTAAGGGGTTCCCCTTTAAGAAAGGCTGCAACTGGTTTAGGTGGAAATCTGGGAGCAACATCAACAAATGATGTGCATGAACTACTTGAGTGTCCTGTTTGCATAAATTTGATGTATCCTCCAATTTACCAGGTGGGTTCAATTTACATGCTGAAAATAAAAATTCAGAAAGTATTTGGAATTGCATTTTCCTTGGGATTTTGTGTTTGTATCATCATCAAATTGGTAGGCATTTGCATTGGAAATCATATTTCATATAAGTGAATCAAATTATTTTTCTTTAATCAATCAAAATTGAAGAAATTAACATAATGTATAATTAATAAAAAAAAAGAAAGCAGGACTCCTTTTCCCAAATCTTTTACGCAGAAGAAAGTAGCATTATCATCTCAATTCTGAAAGTAATTGAAAAGATGCCAATACTTTAACTGCTATTCTTGTGTATGCATAGTGTAATTATGCTAGTCCTTTATTGAACTATTTTGGATGCCTGAAGGCCAGGCAGCTGATTAGGTATATGGACAGTGCCATAGTACTTAGTATGCATGAGTATAAGTGCATTAGTGAAGAAATTTTACATTTGCATCAATGCTTCACAAGCACAATATAAAATTTTTACTTCAACATTCTTCCAGTGACAGCTTTTTATATCTCCTATGTTAGTGTCCCAATGGCCACACTGTATGTTCAATTTGCAAGGCTAGAGTTCACAACTCTTGCCCAACTTGCCGCAACGAGCTTGGAAATATAAGGTGTTTGGCTCTGGAGAAAGTAGCTGAGTCACTGGAACTTCCTTGCAGATACCAGATTCTGGGTTGTCATGATATTTTTCCATACTACAGCAAGCTCAAGCATGAAAAAAACTGTAGATATCGCCCATATAGTTGCCCATATGCTGGAGCTGAATGCTCTGTCACTGGTGATATTCCATTTCTTGTCATGCATCTCAAGAATGATCACAAGGTTGACGTGCATGATGGGTGTACTTTCAACCACAGATATGTTAAATCCAATCCCCATGAAGTGGAAAATGCCACATGGATGTTAACTGTAAGATCTCTCACCCTCTCCCTCCCTCTGCCTCTCTCTTCTCTCTGTGACATACACATACTTGCAACAAGTTCACAAACTTTCATGCATCATCTCAAACAGATCTCTTGTCTGATCCAAATCCTATTCTAAAATGATTAAAATGATGTTTAGAATGGGAATTATAACAACTTTAATGATTGCATTCCCAATTACATCTTTTGTTCCTTCGGTTAATTAATCTTGAACCTCCCCAACCATTTGATACTTTTTGCTAATTAGTTTAGTTTAATTAATTCTTCAACATCATATGGACATCAGCTTTGTTACTTGAATATCAACCAAACCAAAATTGCTTAAAATTTAAACCGTTTCCAAATAATTAGTAGTTAGTACTATATATCCATGAAACTCCATTCAGTTTGATCTGTACCTGGAGCCATTGATGACTGTCCTATCTGCTGCAGGTTTTCAACTGTTTTGGTCGACAATTTTGCTTGCACTTTGAGGCTTTTCACATAGGAATGGCACCTGTTTACATGGCCTTCCTGCGGTTCATGGGTGATGAAGATGAGGCTAGACAGTTCAGTTATAGTCTGGAAGTTGGTGGCAATGGCAGAAAGTTTATGTGGCAAGGAGTTCCTAGAAGCATTCGTGATAGTCATAGGAAAGTTCGAGATAGTCAAGATGGACTCATCATTCAAAGGAACCTGGCACTCTTCTTTTCAGGTGGTGATAGACAGGAGCTGAAGCTGAAAGTGGCTGGCCGTATTTGGAAGGAACAATGAAATAAGTCCAGAAATGAAATCTATGATATTGAAGTGAAAATTTGTATTGGAAATAACATATAAATAAAATAAAAAGGTTGCTAGATTCATGCAATTTTCTGTAAATTTTGTAGATAAAGATATCACATATGAAGTTAACTATGATTTGCAATGGAATTTATTACTTATTTCTTTAATGATATTTCAGCATCATACAGATTTGCAGAAATTGATAGGCATAGGTTGCTCTGGTGATTGTCCCCCGGCTCATCAAGCTCAAAAGCAATGATCAATCCATACTTTGCTTTTGTAATTTCTAGTATTTGCTTTCAGTTTTTATAATAGTTGTTATAATTGAAAATGAATAAATAGTTAAAATGCCACATCAATTCAAAAGTATGTGTTCAATATAAAAGTAAAGTTACACATTTTATTGATAATTATGGTTTTTTTTATTTATTTAATTTTTACAAAAGAGGCTTTAGCTTTGGGATAAAAGAATGAATTACAAATATTGAGATTTGAATCTTAGATTAGGTGAATGTCACTTTTTAAGAGTGATTACATGAGTTCGTTGGATTATATTTCGAATTCAATTTTTTGTGTTTTTATGTTTAAATGTAGTCTTTACATTTTCCTTCCACAACAAAGAAATGTAATCAAGTAGTGAAATTAACAATCAAATTGAACTTAGAGTTTGTTGTAAATAATATTATTCAAAACTGGCTTAAAACCCTAGTTGACATTCAACTTCATGAAGATTTCCCTTTAAAGAAGCACAAACTAGAGCACCCTGTTCTCAACAGCTACGCAGCAGTCAGCATTATATGTGGAGGTTTATGGAGAATTATACTTCAGCATCTGGTTTTCCCATAGGTGTTTTCTGGGACTACCTTACATGAACATGGCAGGGAGGAATTTGTCTAACATTTCAGAGCCATAAATAAATGAAGTAAATGATTTAGTTGGTTTTTGCTATTTAACCTTCATTTTGACAAGGTCATTGCCCTGTAAAATTCTATCCTAAATGACTTCAACTTTAAGATAATTTGAATTCGAAACGACATAAATTTCCTTCAATCAAAAATTATTTGATTCGGTCTATCAATTGACACCTCTACTTACAAATCATGGAAAACATTCCACATACAATAAACCTTGTGCATCAAAATGACTTTTTGGAATCATTTTAAAGAGATGAAACTTGGTCTTTTTATATGTTTTGTGATGCTTTTGTCCAAGGATATTACCACGTTTGGCTCCAAATCCCAAACAACCTTTAATATCCATATTTTCCAAGTAACAAAATACTAGTATTATAAACTTGACAAACCCCTTCAATCCCATTCAAGTTGCTTGGTTTTTAAGGTACTAATCTACTCAATTTTAGTCACACTATCTAACTAACAATCAAAAAATTCATATCAAGACTTAAATTTAAGAAATAAAACTAATAACTAAATGAGAAAGATGGTGGAGAATGTCAAAGGGGGAACTTCAAGTAACAAAAGGAATCAATTTTGGGCCAATTTTCACAAATCATGCCTAATTTGTTTTTATCTCTGCTTTTATTATTATTACTAGAATATTGATCCTACTTCACTTGGAACTATTTATTTTTCTATATTTATTGATTTATTGGTTTAACTAATATTAAAAATAATTTAAATTAAGTCATAATTATTTATTTAAATAATATCTATTTTTGTATGTTTAATGGAGTATATATTAATATTAGTATTCATACAATAATATTTTTTGTTATATTTTAATTGATTTTTATTTTAAAATGACAAAACTTTAAATTAAAAAAAACTTATTAAAATTTTGAAAAAAATTTATTTAGTATATATTTTTAAGTATTATTATTTTTGGTATTAAATAAATAATATATTTTTCAAAGTGATATTTGATTTGATAAATATCTTGAAAATTTGTTTTAAAATATTGATCTTAATGTTTATATCAAAAATATAAATTTTCAAGATTGACAAATCTTTGTAAAACATTTCTCAAAGTTTAAACAAATATTTCTTTATGTTTTTGTATTTCTCAAATCAAAACTATCTTTAAAAATTATTTATTTAATTTTAAATGAAAGTCTAATTGCTATTTTTGAAGTGAACTTATTCATTTTGGACTCAATAAAATTTTGATAATATTGATTTTGATAAATGGATTAACTAGAGAAAGATGTTTTATACGAATAAGGTTTTCCAACATTGAATTTGTTTTTTTTTTGTATTAATTTATAAATTTTTAATATTTGAATTTATATGGATGAAAAACTTTTTGAGTTTACTTTCTAATGGATTAAATAAAATCAAAATCAAAATTTTTTGAGAAAAGATTTTAAATTTTTACTAAAGATTATACAATCGTCTAACAACTATATAAATGGTAATTTTTGAAATTTATTATAATTTTTATACATTTGATCAAATGATGAATTTTATATGGATAGAAAGTTCATCAAGTCTAATTTTTACATCTTCAAACAAATCTTGATTTTAAAGTTGTATAACTTAAGATATGATTAAATTAGTGAGAAGAATACAATACAATACAAAATTTAATCTAAAACAACCAACAATATTGTTTATCCAAAATAATCTCGAATACAAGGTCAGGCTAATCCAATCGATCCCTTATCAAAATGGATCAATTTATTCTCCTGCAATAGTTAAAATTTGAATGAAATTTAAGAACCATTCAATCCATTAATATACCTAGTCAATCCCTTTATCCCTGACAGCTTCCAATGGTTAATTTTTTTTTTAAAGGAAATAACGATTATTTTCTTTTCCAACTCAACCTCAATGGCTCCAATTCATTTTTCTTTATATAAAGAGACCTTTCAACACCATTAACAAGAGATAGGTATGGGAGAAAGTTCATAAAGCCATATTTTCAAAATTCTCTAAGAAAATCAAGAGCAATAAAAAGTTTAAAGCTTAAATTTTATATTCTTTATATATGTTGTATCTAAATAATTTAGTCTCCTATTTGTATTTTATTAGACAAATACTAAGGTTTTTAGAAGTGTCATTGGTTTGCAAATCATTAAAGCTTAATTGTAATATGAAAATGAGGTATCCTCTTAAATGATTTTAAGAGTTTTTGTAGAAATTCATTTTGAGTGGTTACAGGTTATTACCTTAGCCTAGAAAGACAGGGAACTAGAGGTTACTATCTTAGTTTATAAAGATAAGGAATAAAGGTTGCACTTTAGTCTTAAAAGATAGTTTGTAAGAATTCTTAAGAATTAGTCAATTTGAATTCTTAGCTAAAAAAACTAAGGAAAAAGTATGTAGGTGCTTTTAGAGAAAAATCAAACCTTTATAAATCTTATGTTTGATTTTTATCCTATTCTTTTTAGTTTAATTGTCGTTTATATTTGTGTTAAGTTCATTAATTATTATTTATTGCATCATATTTTTATTAAAAATTATATTAATTTTAATTTTTCATTAAATTTAATTGAAAGTGAATTTTGAAAAAAAAATTGGAGACAATCAAATTCACTTGTTATCTATATTTGATCTAACACTTTCTAATTATAAAAATTAATTATTACTAATTACATAAAAACAAATGTATTTTCAAGTGCAATTTAAGTGAACCCACCCCAAAAAATGTATTATATGTTCCAAGTTTCAAGCTAAACTACGGTTTCCAAATTTGAAGATAAAAACAAAATTTGTCTTATTATAACATTGTATGTTCCAAGTTCTATTTGTATGCATTAATGTAATGTCTTCTGATAATAATAATAATAATATTACATTTCGATTGTTTTATCTTTTAAATATTTTAATTTGAATGACAGTTAAAAACTTTTCAAATAACGTATTCAAATCCATTTCGATACGTCTATATCACGTTATCTTTTTATTTTATTGTTTTCTACGTAAATTCACATGGTTTATATGATGTATTGTATTTTTAAAAAATCATAATATGTGACTTTTACATGCAATATCAGAAGTATAAATGATATATTAGTACTCGTAAATTATTTGAGTTCGATTAAAATAAAATTCGAATTCGATTCGATTATTATCGAGTCGAGCTCGAGCTCGAGCTCGAGTAGCTCGACTCATTGATTGAGTCGAGTTTGAGTATTCTTATATTCAGTTCGAGTAGCTCACGAGACTAATTAAGTTTTTATATTTAATTTTTTATATTATTTTAATTAATAAAATATATCGAATTCGAACTCAAACTTGAGCACAAATAATCAAGCTCTTGTTGAGTATAAAAATTGAGCTTATTTTTATATATTTTTGAGTTTAATCGAATAAGTTCGGGTAGCTTAAATTCGATTACAAATTAAATTCGAGCTAAAAAAATAAAACTTTATAAAATTCGAATCGAGTGTTGAATCGCAAGTTATGAATCGAGCTTAAATTTAAATTTTTTATTGTATCAATTTAATTTGACTCGATTACATTCTTATATAAGATTTAACGTGCAGCTTTTACAATGCAACCATAATGACTAATGAGCCCTTTTTACAATGCAGGCATAATGAGCTGCTTTTATCTTATTAACAGCACAAGTCAGGTCTGAAAATAAAAAATGCGGGTTTTGGGTTCAACACGCGAATCGCTTATGCGGGTTGTAGCTGACCCATTTTTCTTGTTTCCAAAACGACGTAATGTTGGATTTAGTCTAAAATCCTTATTTCAAGAATTTTTTTAGGTGCCTTTCTCCTCTCTCTCTTGGCCAGAAAAATCAAATAAGCTAGAAATCGGCTGGCCTCCACCGTAGCCGCTGCCGTTTTGCTACCTCTGGCGGACGTCTACGGATGCCGGAATCTTCTCAAAATTGGCCAAAAAATTCTTATTGACACTTTCACTCCTTCTATCATAGTTGTTTTCCCAAAAAGTTATCAAATGCCCTACATCTAAAACTAAAATTCAGATTTTCATCATTGTCCACACAATCCCATGACCACCAGAAACTTTCATCCACCTTCTTAGTTTAGAAACCCAGAAAAAAAAAAAAAACTAAAAATAAAGGAGCCGGAAACTGCCATTAATTTTTTTGCTATATACTTGCTAATGAAACTGTGTTTTTGTTTGTGTTTGTCTTCCTTTATATTTGTGTTGGAATTTTTTTTCGTATGATTCTTGATTTCCATTATGATTGCTTGATTGGGTTTTTGAATTTTGTTGGATTGAATTTGGCTTCTTGCTATCGATATCATTGCTGCTATAATTGTTGGTTTGTTTTGTGATTGCTTGATTGGGTTCTTAGGTTTTGTTGGGTTGAATGTGGGTTCCTGCTGCCGATGTAACTGTTGCTGTTGGGTTTCTGTTTGATTGGGATCTTGGGTTTTGTTGGGTTGAATCTAGTTTTTGTTGTAATTATTGCCATTTTTGTTGCTTTTTTTTTCTTTTTAATTATTATAATATTTATACTAATTTGAAAGGTAAAACAGTACTTTTTTAATGCTGCAGATTATTATTATTATTATTATTATTATTATTATTATTATTATTATTATTATTATTCATACCTTCTCTTTTTTTTTTCCTTAGTATAAGAAAATATTTCATCAGTAATTATTTTTAATAAAACTCCTTTCTAGTAATGCATCCAATTATCCATACCAATCTTTCAAAAGTTAAGGATTCTTCTACCTTCAAATTAGGTTTGTTTTTCTATTTCTGTTCATTAATGCAAATACAAGCTTGTAGTCTCAAATCAATTAATTAAAAACTGTAATTTATTTTTGCTTTAGGTAGGCAAAATTCTGAAAGTTGAAAAAGGATAAAGTTATTGTATAAATAGCAAGTAGTCTCCCTCATTTACATAAATGATTTGTTAAAGAAACAAAAATAATTTTTCATTTTCAAATTTTAATATTTTGAAATGATCTTTGCCATTTGTAGCTCCTATCCTTTTTGCTGAGAAGTACGAGGTTCATAGCAAGCTGAAAGGAGTCCACAGCAGCCCAAAGCCTTGCAGCTGAAATTGAAAGAGTTGAAGTGTTTTTCAGTAAAAGAGGAAGCTGGAATATTTGTTGATAACAAATCAAAGTAAAAAAAACATTGAGATACCTTTGATTACATGTATATACAAACAAGGGTTTTTTAAAACTTAAAAAAAAAAAAAAAAACACGTTTATTTTGAAATATTAAAAAAAATGGTATTTTTGACATTGAATTTAGGATGCATAATATAAAGAATAAAAGTAGTGAATGAAGAAGAAATTAAGTTACAGCAAATTCATGAACCCTCCATCCCCTTTCTTTGTTGAAGTTGGACAACATTTCGTCTTCCCTGCAGTCGAAATTAATTTTAATCACATAATAATCCAGCTTAAAGCCAAAGGATTAATCACCACTCCCCCTCAAAATAAATGAAATAAACAAAGTAAAAAAAATTAAGCAAGACCTGCTGAGCGTCCAGGGCTGTTCTCCCCAGGATATCCTTGTACTCGGTGCGGCGTGGATTCTACCATAATTGATCAATAAAATCACTGAAACTTGCCCAATTTTTCTTTCCTTTCTAAACCTTCGAAGTTAAGGAAAGATTTGGTTTTTCTTTTTGCTTATCATCTTATTGTAGGTATAAAGATATATATAAGCAAGCAAAGGAATATTAAGATGGGGACTGTTTTTTTAATAAAGAAAATCATAGTTTAAAAATAAAATAAATCAAATAGATTAATTCTCGAATTTAAATAGGCTACTTTAATTTTTTTTTTCTTTTTATCTCTTATCATTGTCTTGGTTGCTAGTCCTCACATCATGGAATAAGAATCTTAATTAATTTTCCAATATGGGAAACAGCTCATAATGGCAGTGCAATCAGTGTCAACATCTAATTGGGCATAAAAACATTGTGAATTTTTTTTAATGGATTGAACAAAAATATTACGAAGCATAATGTAATGATAAAATCGGATTATAAGCTTAATTCCAATATTACAATTCATTCAAGCACAATAATATTTAAATATGTTCATGAGTTGAATTATCTATCAACTCCAGACTCAAATCGAATATTTCATAAAAATATCTGACAATCGTTTAATTCTTTTTAGTGGAGTTCAATAGTGATATACGAAACAAAATTTTGTAGTTGTCATGTCAAAATTATGTTCAATATTCTTCAAGAAACACATGTATCGTGGTTCAGTCAAACAACAGCTCTTTCGATTATAGTCTAATTTATTTGGATAAATTATTTTCTTTTTCCTTTTGTGTATAATTTAACACAAATTTATTGATTTAAAAAATAGATAATTTATCTAAAAAATTTTAATCCTATTAATAAAATTTAAGTAATTACGGGGTTGTCTTTTAAAATTCTTTAATTATTGATTTTAATAAATCTAATGGATGAGATTAAATTGTTTTTTTTCTTTTTGAATTATTTCTTTTATTTCTTAGATATGTTGAAATCAATGGTTAAAAAAATATAAAATTTGTTAATTTTACACTAATTTAAATTGATCCATTCTCTATTATTTATTTCATATGTATCTATTGGAAATATAGTAACAAAAAATGATTTGTATTTAAACATTACAATTCTTTAACTTAGACTTACATATTATAAATGATTTTCAATTTAAAATAAAAAAGTTTGTAATTAGCATATTTTCACAAACAGGAAAATCTAAATTTAACATATTTAAGAGTATTATAATGCTTAAATTAAATTGACAAATGTTCAAATTTTATATTTTTTTAACCAAACCTTTTTATTATTATATCTTTCATTTTTTTTAGATAGTTACAAGATAAAATAATATTACATGCTTAATATATTCATTTTGTTATACATATATTTACATATTGGTATATTTATAATTGTAAGATTTATTTATATTGCATATAAAAAATCTTTTTTCTATGATTAGTAGATTTGATATATTTTGAGAAAAAATAAAAATAATTTAATATTATAAAATATTATTTTATGTGAATATTTGAGATATTAACTTTTTAATAGTAAAATAATCTTTAAATGAAGTTTTTAATAAAATAACTAACGGATAATTAATGGAATGACCTACTTGTCTTATAAAATTAAAAATTTCGGAGCAAATTATTTATTTTTTAAATTAATAAACTTGTATTGAATTATATTCAAAGCTAAAATACCTAATTATTTTGGTTTTTCTTTCTAACCAATTAAAATAATAAACTTTTATGAAGATTCCAATGTAAAGTTGGAAACAATGCGCATATTTCACTTTCAAGAAAAGCGATTTTTTTTTTTTTGAAAAATTTGGTTTAGATTCCTATCCAAAGGAAGATGAAGATAACGAAAAACCTAACCAACGTGAAACATGAATGTCCGGATTCCTTTACTTCAAAAACATTGTAAAATAGGCTCTTCTTATTCTTCTTCTAAAAAATAGAATATTAACGTGGTGACGTCATGCAACTGATGTCAGCAAAAGGAATTACGGACTACATGCATAGATTAAGTTTTGAACTACGTTTAGTAGTTAAAGGTGTTTGAAAAATATCAATTTCAAATTAAAATTTTTTTTTTTATTTATGTTAAAACTTTGTCTTTCTTATGTAACAAAAAAAAAAAAAAGTTTTGACCACATAATTAAGGTTTCAAATATTGTTGGGCTAATGTTAGAAGTATACATCGATGGATTGGGCTAATGGTTTAACAATATTAAATATTTTTATAATAAATATAACATAAATGAACAGAACAAGTTCGTGGCCAAGCCTAACTTTTAAATGTGTCAAGAAGTTCTACTTATGAATATCTCTAATTAGTAATCTCTTGGATTGGAACGTTAAGTTATACTTGTATGATTAGATAATTAAAGTTTGTTTTTATCATAAATCGCATATTAAAAGTATTTTATTATCTACTAGAAATAGCCACTCCGCTATGTTGGGGTGAATTATTTTTCAGAAAAAAAATTGTAATTATTTATTAATGATTTATTATTTTGAATATATTTATAATTTTTTAATTTAAAAATGATAAATAAAAAATTATTATATATAACATTTCATATATTGTGATTATAATTTTTCATTAATTATTTTATACTTTTGAGCGTTGTATTATTAATCATTTGATCAAATGTATGATTTTTAATTTAATATAGTTTACAAATTTTTTTTGTAAAAATATTTTTTTTAAAAAAAAAAAATTTAATTTTTTGTTTTGTCTTTTTATATTTATATTTATCATATCATATTTTTAATTTTTATTTTATTATAGTAATTTAATATGCAGTTAAGTTTTATGTAAAAATTTAATATATAATTTAATTAGGGGTAATATAACTATTTTTATAAAATATCACATGTCAAATTTTTATAAAATAATGGCAAGAGTATTTTAATAATTTAATATGTGGTTAATTTTCTATTAGGTTAAAATAATAGGAACATTATAATAATTTTCAAATAAAATACCACATGTCAACTTCCTATTAAGTAATCACAAAAGTATATATGTAATTATAATGGAAGGGATATTGTATTAATTTTGGCCAATTATGGTAAGAGAACATTTTTATAATTATGATAAAAGAAGCATTATAATAATTTTGACCTATTAGTAGGAGGAGCACTATAATAATTTTGATCAATTATAGTAGAAAGATATTTTTGTAATTATGATATAAAAAAATTGTAATAATTTTAACCAAAGTATTATTGAAAGTATATTTTCATAATTATGATAAGAGCATTATTATAATAATTTATTAATTTTGATCATCTATAAGAGGAAAGATAATATAATAATTTCAATCATGTGTCAAAATATAATTTTAAAAATTTTGTTTTAATTTTAAAAATTTCAAACAAATTTTTTTAAATATGAAAGAGGCAAAATTTTTATATCAAGTTTTAATAGATAACAATATATAGTCAAATAAAAGTGTATTTATTTTTTTAATATAAATTATAAATTAATTATATGTAAATATAATTTTTTATTAAATTAAAATATTAACTAATAACTTTATTAATATAATACATATATTAAAATAAATTAAATAAATAATAAAATATAGTCTTTTATATATATCAATGAAGCTTGAGGCAGAGTGCTCTAAATTTGATTTTGACTTAACCTAAATTGTTCAAAAAGGTGAAACTTAATCCAATCCTTATTTTTTAAAAAAAAAAAACCTCACTTCTATTGAATTGTGATAAATCCAAACCCATCGAATATAAGTTGTTTTGTTATCCTTTCATTCATTGACTTTTTCTTTAAAAATTTTATTTGATAAAAAATAAAAAATAAAGAAAATGATAAAAACAAAGAAGCCAAATAGGATGCCACATAAACTTATTAAATTAAGATATTAAATAATATTTTTTGACAAAATACATATATAAATATAAAATTAAATAAATAATATATATTTGTATATATATATATATTTGTTGATGTATGATACCTAAACCTTACTCTTACCAAGCTCAATTTAAAAAAACTCAATCCAATTATCCTGAATTAAATAGAAATGTACCAATTAGATCAAGGTGAATCGAAACCTATTGAATATAGAACTTTTTTATTATAAAATTTATCTACTAAAAAAAGAAGAAAAATTAAAAAAAGAAAAGAAAAGAGGAAAAAAATCAATATCTTTAAAAACAGAGAAAATGAAAAAAAGGAAATATCACGTGATACCCAAGACAAGGCGGAGCACTTTAAATCCATCTCCAACTTGACCTATTTTTTTTTTTAAATTTAACCCAATCTCCAACTTTTTAAAAATACATCTATATTAAATCGAAACCAATCAAAAACCAATTAAATATAAATTGTTTTATCATCCCTATCATTAACTTTTTTTTTACAATATTTATTTAATAAACAAAATAAAATTAAAAAACCAAATTAAAAAGTCAAAAACTACAAAAAAAAATTTAATAAAAAATAAAATATTAAAAAGTGGATTTTTCGAAGAAGAATGGTGTGTGACGTGAAAACACTCTCATATCTAAAAAATCTACAACTTCAATATAATAAATGGATGGATAATAAAATATATATTTTTATGTATACCCATAATGGGGTGAATTATCTTAAATCTACTTTCAATCCAATCTTGATGTAAATTAAAAAAAAAAATCTCGATTGGGTCTCAAATTTTTTAGAAATGACCTATCATTGGATAAGGGTCAGTCAAAATCTATCGATATTATCGTAACAGCTTTGGGATCGTCAAACGTAAATGAGTTTTAAAATTGAGAAAAATAAAAGGAGAATCGCCACCAATCTTTGTTAGGGTGTGATTGGCCACCCAAATGTTTATCATTTTAATAAAACTATAAAAACGGGTTTAAAGTTTATCAAAAAGATAAATTTTAGTTTACGAAAAATCATGTTGGGTTCGAGAGTCGGTTATGTGTGAAGAAGGATTAGCACTCCCACAACGCCCATAAATTGGTACCATTTAATTATGTGCTATTTTCGGTGTTGGATAAAAATGGTTTTAATTTGAAATTTAACACTAATTCCCTTCATTTGGAAAAATAAAATTTTGCTAAAATTTTTATTTAGAAATATTGAGAAAATCATTGAGTTAAAGAATTATCTTAAAATTCTTTAACATGTAGGCAGAATTTAAAATAATTCTTTTCGCTTAAGATTTAAC